ATAAAATTTACAATAATTATATAAAAAAGTAAATATTTTAATTAATAGCAATTAAATTTAAATTTTTTTATATATCACACTTAATAAGAAATTTGTCAAAAAATTACAGTATAAAAAAATTTAACATGATAAATAGTATCATTTTAAAAAATATTTTTTACATTTAAATATTAAATTTATCCGTGATGTTCTCTACAAGGCTTGGTTGACCATTTACAAATTTCGAATGAAACTCAGAATATTCGATTTTTGGTTTGCATTGGGAGGAAGGAGCTGCCCAGTTGAAGGGGGCTTGGTGGCCCATTTAGGAGGCGGCCACTTGGATACCGGGAAATTGGCTTAGACTCTCGGTCCACCTAGACGTACTCTCTTTCTTAAAATTAAATTTCCACCTAGACGTACTCTCTTTTCTTAAAATTAAATAAAAACCAAACAAAAAAAAAAAGATATGAAAATTTATAGACAAATTAGAGAAATGATATTTTTGACTTATTTTTTGGCAAAATGTCCCAATTTTCTTTTATTATTTTTGAAAAATTACTTTTTTATCGTATCAATCCGCGATTGAATCACTAATTTACCAATTCATATTAATTTATCAATAGTTTTATTATTAATATACTTATAATTTATTAATTAAAATTGATTAGTTATTAGTTGATTTTGATTAATTATTAATTAATATTAATTAATAATAAAGAATCATCAAGTTAATGGTAATATTTCGCTAAAGCAATCAGTGATAGACTAAGTCAACCAGTGATTTATCACTAATGGGACGTTTGGTTCATAGGTTCAGAATCATGATTCATGATTTTAATTTTTGAAATTTAAATTTTTTGTGAGAGAAAAATACTATAAAAAATCAAGAACCGTGATTCACAAAGAAGGAAGAACCCTTGAAACAAACATCTCATAAGTTAATCAGTGATAGATTAAATCAATCAGTGATTGACCATTCCTATTTTGAAAAAACTTCTAACTATTTATTAAAAAAAAAAAAAACTCCTAAACTAATGCATAGTTATAATGTTATTAAATTTATGTTTCTTTTATATTCTTTGATAATTTAACAATAAAATAAGAAAATATATAAACTTAAGCTTATGTAGAATATGTGGTCCAATTCAGTACAACATCAGTAAGGTATTTTTTTTTGCTTTATGATAAATTAAATAGCTGATGCAGGATAATATTAAATTTTTGTATGATTTTATTTAATTTATTTTCTATTTTATTAGGATTAATTATGTTGTCAATATTATATATATATATATTTTTTATTTAGTTTGCTTTTCTACTTGGATTACAGTTCCTAAATACGTTAGCGCATATTAGCATATAAATAAGGCTTTCACTGTGTAATTTTTGTTTCAGTTTTTTCTATTATTTATAGTAACATCTATTTTGGAGTATTTCCTGTCCTAATTCTTTGAGTGAAAATTTTGTGGTTTCTTCTAGACTGTCAATAACTTTAGGGGTTTTTTTTTTTTTTAATGGAATCTACGAGCTATCTTTAAAAATTATTAATTATTCTTTAAATTTAAAAATAGAGATTTAAACTCTATACATTATAATAAATTTAGGTGTGGAGTTATTATTAGATTATACTTGTAAACATTCTTATATTTAGAATAAATATTTATGCTTAAACAAATTATAACTCCAATTTTAAAACAAAAAAAATTAATAAAAAAATTTATTAT